TATGTAAGTAATAAGTTCAAGAAGATCTAAAAATACTTCTTATTACACATTGCAGGCAGTTCAAACATTAGAATGGGGAACCCATGTGTAATTTTTACAAATGTTTCTTTTAGTTTAAAGTGTGTTGACATTGCTAAATTTGCATCTGATGGAGCCAGCTTTGTCAATGACAAAGTAAGTAATATAGACTTGCTACAGACCTTAAATGTAGAGATTGCTGAAAACCACTTTAAGTTTGAATCATCCATACGTTGCACATGTGATAAATGCCAAGGTTAGTTTGCAATATATTGATTAGGAGTCATGGCACTGATGCGTTAGCACTTATTATATAGAAACATGCATTAATAGAAAGGCAACACATTTCTTCACGCTCCTCTCCACGATGATAAAAATCACCACCGTGGTTAAGATGTACTACCACTGCACATTTAATTCACTTACATAATAAAAGAAAACATCTTTCTGTAAAAATAAAATTTAAAATGTAAAGCTAGTTTGCAGCTCATTTTATGTATGCTTACCTCTTTATTTAATAGTCAAGTGACTATTTTGCCTCATATTATAAATCTTTCCATTCTAGATGTTTTATGGTAATGAACTAATATTCTTTTTCTCGTGAAAGCTCCCATGTGATACAGTTTAATATCACTTCCATTGTCAACTATTAGTGCATATAATAATAGTGCATATAAATAATACTATATATAAAAAATTGCTATTCAGAGAATGAAATACTGGAAAGATTAATAAAACTGCCACATTCTTTTTTTTTAAGTATTTGATTTGAACATTACTTTCAAATACATCAAACTTTCCTAAAGGCTCTTCTGTTAAAATAAAACAAAAATATTGCAATGTTATTTTGTATTTTTATAACACATACACATGCACACATATACACAATCCCAATTGTTCTAAGATTTATTGGGCATTTACCATATTCTGGGAATTGGAGTATGGTGTTACTATGCAATATCTCATTTAATGCTGACAGAAGTTCTGTAAGGTAATGCTGCTATTCCTGTTTTTTTAAAGATAAAAACCCCATGTCTTAAAATAAATCACTTGTTAAGGTTACATAGTTAGTAAATAATAAAGTTGAAATTTGAACCCAGGTCTGACTAAGTCCAGAGTTTACATCCTTAGTTTCTAAGTTCCTCTTCTGCAATAAGCATTTTTACCCTTGATTCACATAAGAAAAATGAGCATAAATGAGCTAGGGTTTGAAACTTCAGTCAAATGACTGACAATATATGATTACAAGAATAAATATTGCTGTATTAAAGGGAGAATTTTGAATATAGGAAATTTTTTCAAGTTTGATGCAAAGTAAATTTTATAAAAAGAAATTAGGATACCTCTGGAAGTAGATAAAACAGAGTTGTGGGAGGACTGGATATCTGATTCTGGAGAAAAAGGAAACTAGAAATGGTCTCAAGGTTTGGCAGATAGATAGTTGTAAAATTGTTTTTCTTTGTTTTAGTCAAACCTAAAGAACTAAAAATTAGCGAATCTCATGCTATTTACCAAGTCTTACCACATATTGAAAATGGGTAGTTAGTAAATAATATAGGAAATCAAAGTTGAGGTAGTAATATTATGACATAATCATCTAAGGTTTATAACTGTATGACTAGAAACATTTACAGTTCCAGAAGTTTGGGAAATGTATTCCAACTTAATATTATCTTGAATATATTAAATGTTCTGTCATTTCACATTTACATGTTTTTTTTTTGTTGTTGTTTGTTTGTATGTTTTAAAGCATTTTGAGGCAAAAGGAGAGTATAAGAGCTTCAGGTGCAAAAGACACTTTATGAACATGAGACCCTATTAGAATGTTGTAACAGTTGGCCTTGAAAATTTCAGACTGAAATATCCAATTAACTTTTTCTTGACCATCTTGTTATGACAGAAACATTTCTGTAATAATAATAATAATAATAAAAACAATAGGCACTGAAAAAGGAGTCTGTCTACTAGTTTTTGTATCAGCTTTGCCACTTAACCAAGTATGTAGCTTTAGATAACAGGTTAATTCTTATAGCTAAATTTCTTCAATTATAACATGGGAGTAATGTTTATCCCACTTTCTTTACATAAATAGATAAAAGAACAAAGTCATTGTGAAAGTGATTTTTAAAGTCGCTATGAAATTAAGGTAATGTTGATTTACAATACTACTTTTTTGTCAATTTTGATTTTAAAAAAATCTGAATTCTTAGATGATATATATTGTTCCATAGTAGCTCTAATTCTGAACTTTTATTTCACATGACAGCCATATCATTAGAGAACAAAGTTAATCAAAAGGAAAAATGTAAATTAACCATTGAGTAAATATCAGCATTCAGAGGTAGCTGGCAACCAGTACATCTCCTTTCAAAGAAATTTCGGCTTTTATATGTTCTATTTTTATTAACATATGCTTTACTGAAATAGTTAATATTAGTTATCTGCAAGACTCAGCAAGCATAAAAATATTTACCAGACAGTACTTGATGATGTAGGACATAAATGGCTCTGGAAAGCTCTGGCATTTCTGATATACAGTTTATATATTCCAAATTTTATTTGCTTGCACATTGACTGGTGTCTTTGAAATATGACTTATTTTTTCTCACATGAGAGAGATGAACTTCTTTTATGCATTAGCATCCAAAAAAATTAACAGAGAAGTGCACAGCCTCCATACCATTTCATTTAAACAATATTCTGGTTTTAATACTTTTACATCCAACTGTCTTCTGACTTGTTTGTTGGATATATCTACCAAGGGTCTATATATCAAGGGATTATTTTACCCTTAAATATATTTTTTTACCCTTAATATTAAATATATTATACTCTTAATATTAAATATAATATTAAATATATTATACCCTTAATATTGTTTTACACTTATTATAGAGGTCTTTGAAGATCAAGGGACCATGGATACATCTGAGATGTAAAAAAAGTTTGGTTGCCCCCACCCCAACCTAAAAGCACAAAATCTGTCAGGTGTATAATTATGTGCAAATGTGGCAAATTGGTCATCATATAAATTTAATGTATAGATATTTTTAAAGCATATTGCTGAAACAAGTCCCATCATTATGTACAATTATAATGTACCAAATTAAAATTGTGGGGGAAAAAAAACACATTCCTGAGTGAGGCATAGTGGCACCTTTCTGAAACACTAGCTACTTAGGGGACTGAAGCAAGAGGATTTCAAGTTCAAGGCCAGCCTGGGCAACTTAGTGAGAACCTGTCTCAAAATAAAAAAGAAAAAAAAAAGGTTGGGTATGTAGTTCAGTGGTCGAATGCCCCTGGATTAAATCCTAGTACTATAAAAACAAACAAACAAACAAACAAAAACTCACCATAGTGGTGTACATAAAAGGTTTACACACTGGTATTAACTCTGAGTAGAATTCATTTTTCCATAAAACAGGATATTCCGTGGCTTCATTTTTAATGTTGCTTTTCTTTTCTTATTTGACACATAGTAGGTATAATTGATCTCCAAAGAAATAAATTCAATATGGAATATTCTATTTCCTAACTACCTAATCTTGTACATATGAGAAGCACCTTTTGAAAGATGGAGACCTGTGAAATCCAGGGATGCAGTTTGAAGGCCTGAAACCCAATGGTATAGACTAGTCTGGGTTTGAAGACTTAAGAACCAGAATTCCTGACAGCAGGAGAAAACTGACGTCCCAGCATAGGCAGTCAGGCAAAGATAGAAGGAAAATCCAACTTTCCTCTACCTTTTGTTCTATTCAGGCCTTCAGTGAATTGGGTGATGTTCACTCACATTGGATGGGACCACCTGCTTTACTCAGTTCTTCAATTCAAATGCTTACCTCTTCTAGAAACAGGATTTCAGGATAAGCCTGAAAATAATGCTTCACCAGCTATTTTAGCACCCCCATGACTCAGTCAAGTTGACATCCATCATAGTAGGTACACACTGAATCCCTGTCTTCATTCTTTGTTTTGGAAGGCTATACTCTTCTTTATGAATTATCCTTAACACCTGTTCCTAGGCTAATTAAATAAACATTTCTATAGTCTCCTTTAGTGTAGAGGAAGTTCTCTTTTTCCTTCTCCTCTGTGTAAATCTTTGCAAGTCTCTTCTGAATATAGTCACTCAAGGAATTCATTTTATTGCCTTCATTGAGAATGCATTGTTAGTAGTGCAATGAAGTAGAGCTTCTGGGTATTTGGACGCTGTTTGAAATAAAACCCTTTTTTAAATTAAGTTGGCTAATTTACTGATATCACTAACATGAAGTAAAATTTGAACACTCACAAAATGAGATCTGACATTATTCTCAGTGCTGTAACTAGTATTCACTTTGGTGGGATAGGGAAGTGCTGAATAGTTTGACAGCCATTAGATGTTGCTTGTTACATAAGCCTTGACTGGTATAGATAGAATCTATTATCTGTATTTTCTTGACATGACTACTGGGGCTTATGGCTCTTCATTCATTAGTTATCATCTGTCACATGTGAATGGAACTTTTCCCCATAAAAGTTTGATTCTCAGAGTATTTGTTGTGATTTGTTCCACAATGTTGTATGACCCTGTCACATCTACATGCAGTTCTTGTTTCAGAAACAAGTTGATATATGTCTCTGCTGCTTTTTGGAAGCCTCTAGTCAATGTTTCCTACTAAACTATTTTAAAAACTGACAGGAAGAAATAAAACCCCATTACATTCCATACTTGTCTAACTCAATGGAAAGAGACGTAATCGACTGTTTGTTCTGAAACACCTGCTGGTAGATTTAATGAGTGTATTAAAAACGGAGCTGCTTTTCTATTTCTTTTAAAACAACTCTGTCCTCTTTCTTGAGCATGTTTGATTGAAATTTATTATTTGCTTTGCCGTAGTTTTTGTGTGTAAAACTAATGCTTTACTGATACATGAACTTGAGAAACATGGGAAAGTGGGGATTGGATATATTGGGACTAATTGGTTTTGGTTTTTGTTTTACAGCTGGGACAACGTATATCTTTAGCAAAGGTGGAGGACAAATCACGTATAAGTGGCCTCCTAATGACCGGCCAAGTACAAGAGCAGACAGACTGGCCATAGGGTTTAGTACTGTTCAGAAAGAAGCAGTCCTGGTACGAGTGGACAGTTCTTCAGGCTTGGGGGACTACCTAGAACTGCATATAGTAAGTACTTTTTAAATGCATTTCGGCTTTTACATTTTACTATTTGCTTTTCTTGTATAATTTATAGTTTCCCATCTTGTGTGTTATTTTTCTTCTCCCAGAAACCTGTTCTATGCTATGGAAAATATGAATATAACCTGGAGATATTAAAATTTTAGACCTACTACTATTGTTACTATATACTTTATAATAGAAAAAAAAGGTTTATTCCCCTTTAGAGTGTGAATTCCTCTCAATTTGGTCTTTTCAAATACTTTTTGGAGCAGTTTTTGTGTCTTTAGGCAGACTTGCCAAATTAATAAAATGAGTTATTGCTCAGTAGATACTATACCATCTGGTAGAACGCAGGAGGCCATAATGCTGGTAACAATCAAAGATCTGGATTCAGTATTCTCATTTCTCTTCTTGCCAGGGAGAAAATTTGTCAAAAGTTATATGAAATGGAAGGAAGGAAAGGAAACTTATTTGAGGATGTAAAAGAAAAATGGCAAAAATATTGTTTCTATGCCATTTTTTTACTCATTTTGATATGTGTAAGGAAAATATTATAGATACTTAACCACTTCTGTCCCAGGACCATTCCTTTATCTGTAAGCTCTAAACTGTTCCCAAGAATTTGCCCAGTATGTAGTAGAAGGCAAATAGTAGTTCCTGAAAGAAAAATTTTTCATTTCTTTTTAAAGTTGCCGTAATTAACTTCATAATTCAGGGACTCTTTGCTCTATCTCTGTGTTCAAAGAATTATTAGTGTGTGTGTGTGTGTGTGTGTGTGTGTGTGTGTGTGTGTGTTTGAACTCAGGGCCTTGAGCATGCTAGGCAAACCCTCTACCACTGAGCTATATCCCCAGACCCCTATTTGATTTCTCAAATATAGTTTATCTAGAGCCCTCTTATCTTGTGATCATGTAGATTTGATTTGTGTTGTTTTGTTCTATCCCTGTAAGTTCCCCTTTTATCAGCGTTTATGCCTCAAAGGATGTGTGACTGGGTCATGATGTTCTCTCCTTTTGGAAACTGGACTGTAGGCCCCAATCCTAAAATAATTAGAAAAACCACCAAACCACAGAATAGATTAACACAGAATAGAATGATATTTTAATTCCAAAATATTTTATTAGTTTCTTAATCTTACATTTACATTACGCTTCTGGAATTCCCAATAAGCAGAGTAAGGGTTGACACTGACTGCAGAGACTGAATCCATTGCTAATCTTGAAAAAATAAACAAAAAAACAACACCTCAGCACAACTGTTATTGAACCATCAACCATCGTAAATTTCCCATTTAAAATGGGGTTGTCAGAATGGCAACTCTGGGAAAGTAATTTCAGCTGCCTTTCAGCAAATATCTAACAATCAAAACGGAAAGCATCTGGGTTTTTATGGCATCGTAAATAAATGATCAGTGGAGGTAAACTTAACTAGTGGAGTAAGGAATTTTGCTGTTTAGAGTCATCTCAAGTTTCAGTACAGACTTGCTCAGTTCTGATTTAACAGCCTTGCTACTTCAAAAAATAAATAAATAAAAAGGGAAGAAAATAAGGGTTTTTTCCTTCTAAAAGAAATTACTTATTGATCCATAACCAATTACACTTTTATCCTGCAAAAGTTTCCACAGTGATCATTCTCAAATCATAAGGGGCGTAAGTAGTTTGAATTACTCAAACTACTGTTGTTTGTTTTGTGGTCAAAACAAAGAATGGATACTTCTTTCCAATTCTGACCAAATGCATAGAGTTCTTTCATAAGCAAAGGATTGACTTTCTAGGCATCTGTACCATCTCAGAATCGTCCACAGCTCCTTTTCAGGTAGTGGGTTTCTTGCAGTGTCCTGTGAGTACCTCTTTCTTTCTCCATCTCTCTTTTGGTCTTGCTTGGACATTCAGTTTGGATTCAGAACCTGTCTCTATATACCTTATCTTGGATTTGAAATCTTCAAATTCTCCCTTTTTCATAGAGTCTGTGATTATAAGGATATTAGTTCCCTGGGATTCCCAAATACTATTGTTTGTCCTCCCTATCTGCTCTTGTATCAATTACTAGGACCCACTCTTAGTCCAAATCTGGCCAAATAAAACTTTTGGTCTCCTTCCCCTTTCTTCCATTGTCTACAAGAGTAGCTCAGCCATTTGTAACTCAATTAAGTCCTTCATGTGGATAAAAGTTACTTCTTTCGATGTTTTAACATAAAACAAAAATCAAAACAATGCCACTTTTGTTTTAAACTACTGAAATTTACCTCTAATTCTTTTTCATAACACTGGATACATGCAAGAAGAAAAAGAGGAATTAAAAATGAAAAGAGCTGGGTACGATGTCACATGCTTTCTATCCCAACTAGTCAGGAGGTCAGGCAGGAAAATCACAAGTTTGAGGCCAGTTTCTGCAACTTAGCAAGATCCTATCTCAAAATAAAAAGGACTGGGGATGTAGCTCAGTGGTAGAGCATTCCTGGGTTCAATAACCAGTACTACACATGTGCACACAAATATTGAAAGAAAAAAAAAACAGAGGAAGTTAAGAAGGCAGAAATTTAGGAGAAAGAAGAGAACAGAGTCTCAAGATGATACCTAGGAGTGATAGAATCAGAACTATTCTTTGTATCAATACTTAGTTTTGAGAATATTCAAAGACTGTTTTATCAAATTATTTATGTACCTTTGAAGTTATCCGAGTTGTCCCAAATAAATTCTTCTACTTTTTATAGGACTGGAAATTTAGAAGTAAAATAAGACTTTTAGCACTTTAGATTATTACTTTTGCTTGATTTTGGTTTAGAAATATAAATAATCTGAAAATTAGGTCAGGCACAGTGGTGCACACTGATAGCCTCAGTGACTTGAAAGGCTGTGGCAGAGGATAACAAGTTTGAGGTCAGCCTTAGCAAGTTTGCAGGACTGTCTCAAAAAAAAAAAAAAAAATTAAAAAGCTGGGGATGTAGTTCAGTGGCAAAAGGCCCCTGGGTCTAATCCCCAGTTAAAAAGATTTAGCCAATTGGTGATTGGTATAATAGATAGTATGTTTTATCTATGAAACTTAGAAATTTAGAAATTTTGGTTATCCATTAAACTGCCAAGAAAATTTTTATAAGTCTTCAAAGTCAGAAAGTATAAACTGTATCCTGATCTTGTTCAAAAATCTTATTTCCATCCTTAATTGATAGAGTGAGGCAATAAACAGAGAAGGTGATTGCATTCTTGCTAAAATGTATAATGCTGTTTCAATTAGATAACTTTTAAAATCTGATTGGCATATCATTTCAATGAAGATTTGAATGTTTGATAAGGTTTTTCATCCCATTTTTCAGAGTGATGAAGTTTGATTTCACTTGAAAATGTAATCACATTTAAATTTTGATTAACTGTACTCTGAAAAATATAAAAACTTAGGACAAAATGACTTTTGAATCAAGTGTCCTAGTTTTGATACATGGATTTTTTTTGTTATATTACTATAAATGAAACTACTGTTAAGTTCAAGCCACATGATATGACTATTAAAATTGTAAGGTTTTATGAGAAGATGAGAGGAAGATAAAGACATGAAATGAGGGGCTTAGTTTACTACCTAGAATTTAAATGCTCAATGAAAGTGTTCTGAAAAAAAAATTATTTAATTAAATATTGAAAATATTGTGCTTTGGTTAAATATAAACTCACAACTTTCTCATAGTCAAAACAAATTGACAGAAACAATTTAGGTTCTATATAAGTGTGTGAAAGTCAGATCTAAGTTCTTATTGACACTATAGAGAATGTGTAACACTCAATATACAGCAGATTATTGGAAAGTTACATATTTTAATTGATGTTATTTTCCTAAATCTTGAACTAAGAATTAATTATGATGTTTGGTTATCAAGCAAGTATGTAATGAACATTTTTTTTTATTGGATGAATAATGATCTCTCCTTAATTGTTACATCATTTATTGAGCTACACTTATTGTAGCTCAACTTTTATCATGAACTGTTCCCTAGTAATTTCATATCTGCCCATTTCTTTCAAAGGAGATAAACCTTATGATGACAGAGAACATGATTTATAATAATGATGATCATTAATAAGGAAAATAACATAGAAGTGTGGCTTTTATCATTTATTTCAGACTTTCTAGTAGTCTGATCATTAATATTTATTAAGCATCTAATATGGCCCAGGTCTGTGTTAGGCTCTATAGATATTAATGAGCTGGCCACTCAATACCTACTTCAGTAAATATTTGTTGAATGAATAAACAGGCAAGCTGATGATGGTATCCTCACCACCAGGCAGCTTAGATTATTTATAGTAAACATTTTGTCCCAAAGTAACAAGCCTTTCTTGGTATTTCTCTGTCTTGCTATTTCTTCATCTCTCCTTCTTGTTTACATGTATATTATTTGTAAGAACAATGGACAAATGAAAGGTTTTCCAGATAGAGAATCTAAAGTGACTTATAAACTGTGAAGCATTTGACTATAAACATTTGAATTAGCGATATTAAGGATTATTGAATCAGTATTGAAAAAATTCTTAATCTAATAGGTGAAAAGTTGAGCTAAATTTAATTTTATCAGCTATATAATGAAATTGTACCAATGCTGTCACTTGTAGAAAAGTCTCTTCTTGTGTTAGTTTAGTGTCCTTAACTGGAGATTACTTAACATCTTTCTGATTTATAGAAGAAAGTGGCTACAAAGGTGGGCTCCTTCATTGCCATGAATATTAAAGAATGCATTGGTTCTGACCAGAGGAGATGGCATGGAGGGTGGAGCTGAGGAAGAGTGATGAGTGCTCTTTGAAATCCTTTCATCTTGGGAGCATGAAAGAGCATTGCAAATTTGATTAGCGAATTGTTGTACATATTTGCCTTAAGTGTTTCTTCTTTGTACTTTGCTAGGCCGGAAGCTGTATTTTGAAACCAAGCTCTCCATTGATTTTGATTTAGAAGTACACCTTTTGATCAGCATTTTTAGTGTAACTAGAAGTGCAGTGTATTTATAGTAAATATCACATATC